CGGTGCTGGTCTGGCCGCTAACGTCCGTCATTGCCTTGTTGATCGCGTCGATGCTGGCCAAGCCGGGCATGCCGGTGATCCTGCTGGGAGCGCCGCTCATGCTCTGGCTGGCGCTGCTGATCCTGTCGCACTTCAGCAATCTCGTCATGGGGGACCCGTCGCTGTTCTATGCGTCGGACAGCTGGGCGTCGCTGATTCCGATCCTGGTAATCGTCGCCATCGCCGGCATATTTGCCTTGCGCAACAGGGGCCTTGGGGGCAGAATCACGTAGGCCCTCGAGTTCAGTAGGATCCCAGGCCGGCGATCCGGATCCGGTGGATCGGACCCAGCCAGAGATCTACATGAAGTTCCGGGTGTGCAGGCCGGACAGGGCGGCAGACTGTTCCTCGGAGAAACCCACCCTTGCGAGATTTCGGCGCCGAGCAGAGTCCATGTCGCTCTGCAATTCCGCGACGCGACGGCTTCCTTCGCGCAGGTGCTCGAGTTCCCACGAACCGGCGGCGACAAGAACCAGCGCGTCGTGGACCTCCTGGTTCAGGCCGGAGGTGTGCCGCAGAGCGTCGTGGCGCTGGTGCACCGACTGTGCCAGCCGTACCAGCAAGCTGGGGTCGTGCCTGGCCGATTCGCGCAGGTGGGCAACGCCGAATGCCACGTGCCGCGCCTCATCGTTGGCGGCGAGGCGCGTGACGGCCCTGGTAACCGGGTCGGGGGCGTACCGCTCCAGAAACCGGAGCAGGACCAGGAACGTGCCTTCTCCCATGACCGACAGCAAGAATGTTGCTATGGCGAAGTCGGGTTCGTCCACGAGGGTCTTGAGCGAGGCCTGACCACCGATGGAGGAAAGTCCCAGCCGATTGCGCTTCAATAGGCCCCGGCGGGTGAAAACCTCGATGTGCCGGGCCTCGTCGGCAGCCTGGATTGCCAGCAGCTGCATGACCTCCCTGAAGTGCGGGTGGAGTTGGGCTACGAAGCGGCTAGGCACCACCAGGGCAGCCGTCTCGTTTTCCACCAGGTAGGTCATGAGCTGGACGACGGCGTCCTCGACCTCATCGGGGAGATCGAAAGGCTCGTCCCACGGTATGGCGGTATTGGGATCCCATTGAGCCGCGACCGCAGCGGCGTAGATGCGGACGGCCTCGTCGGCCCATACCTCGTGCTTTTCAACCAACCGGAAGCTGAAATCCGGCGCTCCATTCTCCACGGTGGCCCCCCGAGCGGCCAGTCCCCAGCGCTGCGGCGGCGTTTCCACCACTCCACCGGGCACAAACGGATCGCCGTCGCCGGCAAGTTCCGCTCCCTGCCACCGCCCTGTATCCGCAGAGCCGCGAGCGACCAGATAGCCGGCCGCGCCGTTGGCCGGTTCGAAACGGTGGCCCGCCGATCGGCACCAGACCTGCAGGTGCAGGGCGAGGTCTGGGGCCTGACCCCGAACTACCACCCCGTCTCCGGGCGATATTGAGCCCACCGCTCTCTTGACGAGCAGATGGGCTCCCTCATCGAATCTCAGTCCCCCCAAGTCAAATTTCGATCACGCGCTGATACCTTCCAGGAAGTGCTCGATGGTACCAAACCTAGAGACGGCTCCTTCGAGTTGCACGTACCCCTCGGTCCTGCCGGGCAGCCACTGAGTCAGACCCTCGAGGTCCAGCAAGGGGCGCACCTGGGGATCGGCGTAAGACATGCCCATCAAAAGGTCACGGAACAGCTTGATCTGCTGGTCGGGGGCACCGTCCAGGACGGTGAAGTTGCAGTGGTCATAGGGCGCGGTGCGGGAGAGAACGCGGGCTGAACCCGGCGGCAGGGAGCCCTCCCCGGAAAAGGCCAGGTAGTTGCCGTCGATGATGCACGCTGCATCCACATCGCCACGCAGCAGGGCCTGTACCGCCTCTCGCTCTCCGCCGATGTGGTCTCCGTGCTTGCCCACCAGTACGTCAAAGGCGACGGTCTCAATCTCCGAATCGCCCTGCATTCCAGCCTCGGCGAGGTGGAACAGCGGAATCAGGTTGGCCTGCGGAGAGTCCTGCGCGCCGAGGCCGACCCGCTTGCCTCTCAGGTCGGTGAGATCGGTGATATCTGAACCTTCCCGTACGACGATCACGGAAGTGAGGTCGCGATCAGTATCGCGCATGCAGATGGCCTCTGCGCTTTCGGCCCAGCTTTTCGGCGCCGGCCTTGGCCTGCAGCCAGGCCAAAGGGGAGTTCCAGGCCACGTGGACGTGACCGGCCAAGTGGGACTCGACCTGCCGCTCGTAGTTGGAATACAGGACGAAGTCGAAATCGAGGCCCCTTTCCAGGAAGTAGTCCCGGAATCCCTCCCAGATGGTGACCACCTTGGCGTCGTAGGCCACGGCCCCCATCAATAGCGTTCCATTGCGGCTCATCAGAACAGCTCCATTCCGCAGACGGCTTTGCCTATAAAGTCCAGCAACGTGTCGGTGGTAGGCGCCATCACGCCGGCAGCCCGGGCGTCACGGAAGTAACGCTCCACGCCGACCTCCTTGCGAAAGGCCGCACCGCCGCAAACCCTCATTCCCAAGTCCAGAACCTGCGACGACATCTCGCCAGCGGCGGCCTTGCATTCCAGGACACGGAGAACGGCGTCTTCGCGACCCTTTTCGAGGGCGTCAATGGTGTCCAGCAGCAGTGAATGGGAAGAGTCAGCCAGGATTTTCATCCTTGCAATGTGGGCGCGGGTTGTGGCCGATTCCGCCAGAGCCTCGCCGGTGTGTTCGTAGCGCGTTTCCGCGACGTGAGTTGCCGATCGCACAACGGCAGCCTGCATCAACCCCACCGAACACGCGGCGTTGCAGACACAGAACATCGGGAGCACGATGCCCAGCATTGAGTTGAAGCCATCGCCGTCCTCACCAAGCATGGCCGACGGCGCAACCGCCACATCCGTGGCCATAACCGGGGAGGAGTCATTTCCTCGCAGGCCCAGCCCGTTGAACGCGCCCTGCACCTGCAGGCCCTCGGCTTTCGCGGGCACCAGCCATAGAGTCGACAAGCCATCCGACCCAGGGGTTTCGACGACCACACGTACGCGCTGGCGTGGGTAGCGGAGGTAATCCAACTCTTTTGCGCGTTCAGGATGACGGAGCCGTTCTTCCTGGAAGCAGTGCTGGTTGGCGCCCAGAACTGGCTGCGAGAGGTGGCCTCGCTGAAAGCCAGAGTGCTCAGATGTTCACCGCTGGCGGCGGCCCTGCGGACGTCGTCAGACGCAAGGGCCTCCAAGACTGCAGTGCCGGAAAAGTGTACATTGAGGCCACCATCGCGGTGGAGCCGCAATCGCGGGCCACTCGTTCCACGATAGCGGCGGCCCCCCGGTGACCAAGGCCCAAGCCACCGACTGTGGGCGCGCTTACGGCGCCAAGCAAGCCCGCGCCCTTCAGCGCATCAACGGCCTGTTGTGGGAAAGCACCGTTCTGGTCGACTTGCTGGGAGTGTGGAGCAATTGCCGTGGAGCAAACGTCATCCAAGACGTCAAGGTAGTTGTTGGCAGTGGTCGTCATATCTCCTCCTGTATTGCGGCAGGCGCCGGTCACAGAAGGAAATCTCTATCGATCTTCCTCGAAAATGGCCGACGCAGAGCCAAGCCCGAACCCGCCGGGGACATTGCGCATTCAGCGTCGGAACATGATTTTATTTCCTCTCCAGGATGTCACGCCGAAATATTAGCACGCAGATACACAAAAGGTCTACGGCGACTCCCCAGGGCAATCGCGTCCTATTTGTCAGCACACAAAAATTGGTCTGAATGGCGGTGGAGATGGGAGTGGCGGTGCCTCCTTCAGTTCCTGGTGCGAGGGTAGACGGGGGTTTGGATTCCCGCACCTGCGGGAATGACGACTTATAGGGCCTCCGGCGTTTAAGACGCGATTGCCCTGTCGATGTAGGGCTGTCGCCTCTGGCTGGAGAGATTCCGTGGCGGCGCAGGAATCGAGTACGGCCATCCGAGAGCGTGGGGCTCGCGGAAGGCAATTCGATGTCCCCACGGGACAGAATTTTCCCACCGCTGTCCCATTTTGTCTCAAATTCGCGTTCCCCCGTAGCTGAAGTTTCCCCAAATTGGCCAAAAATCGCGATTCCCGTCCCATATTGTCCCATTCTGTCCCACCCGGTCTTTTCCCCCTGTTTTCGGAGCACATACGGGCAGGGCCTTCGTCCAGGAACAACCTCTGCTCCAAGTCTTGCGAACGCTATTTACGAACATATATACGGAATAATAATACAACAGCGCCGCAGAGGCTGGCAAGTGAGTCTTCTCACTTGCCAGGGCAATCGCGTCTTATTTGTCAGCACACAAAATTGGTCTAATGTCGGTGGATATGGGAGAGGGAGTGGCAGTGCCTCCTTCGGTTCCGGGTGCGAGGGTAGACGGGGGTTTGGATTCCCGCCCCCGCTTCCGCGAGGGTGACGTTCTTTCGCGGGAAAGACGGCTTATTGGGCCTCCTGCGTTTAAGACGCGATTGCCCTGGGCGACTCCCTGTTCGCGGAAAGCCAACTCAGCGCCAGTCCGGAACTGCATGCACGGAAGCAGGACGACCCGTCCGCAATCGTGGACGGGTCGTTGCCGCAGGGATCCGATTTGGTTAATGGAATCGCTGCAGGTGAGGAGCGGTAATCTCCAATCTAGGCGACTGCGGGCACCTTCATCACCGAGGTCATGGCCTGCACTTCGAGGCGGGCGATGTGGCTGCGAGCGTGGTCCATAACAGCTTGCCATTCCGGGGAGGAATAGAAGGCTTCCTCTCTAGAGGCCACCTCATCGGCGCTAGGGAACGACCGGATCCAAATGAACTGGTTGTTGTCCGCGTTGACCCACATTCCGTCGACGGTGATGCCATATTTTTTCTGGATTCCCACCAGTTGGTCATTGAACAGTTCAACCCAAGCGTCCATCATGCCGCGATTTATGGTGTAGGTCCGCAATTGGTAAAGCATACTGTCCTCCCTAAAGTTATTTGAAAGTTACTTGTGGCTACCGGTGCCGTCGGTTCTAGGCTGCGACGCAGGTAATGGTACGCTCAACGCCGTCGACGTTCTGCACCTGGGCCGTTACCAATTCCACCAGCGACAACATGTCGTTGGCCTCGGCGAGCGCTATCAGGTCGTAGGTTCCAGTGATTATGTCAGCCTCCGCCACATTGTCCATGGCGCGAAGTGCGGAAAGCACATCTTTCGCTTTGCCTACCCTGGTCTCGATAAGTATGTAAGCTCTTGTGGCCATTGCTAATTTGTGGCTCGACCATTGCGCTCGGGGAAATCCGATCTACAGTGGCGGTGTGGCTAGTCCGGGATGGCGGCGGTGCTGGTGACCTCCACCAGATTGTCGGGGGCCCCAAAATTCACGATGACCGTGGTACGGGCCGGGCGGTCGGCCGTGAAGAATTCAGAATATACATCGTTGAATCCCGGCAGGTCCTCCCGGTTAGTGACGTAGCAGGTGTTGGTTAGCACCTGATCCAGTGACGAACCCGATGCCTCAAGGATAGCGGAAATGCGCTCCAAGGCGTAGCGGGTCTGTTCCTTGATGTCCTTACCTACGGAGTTATCGGTTGGATGCCGTCCGGTACAGCCCTGCACGAAGATCAGATTGCCGAACTTCACCCCCTGCGACAGAGGAGCGCTGCCTGCAGTGATTTTGTCTGTCGAGACTATTTCCTTTTTGGGCATGATCCTGGGCCTCCATCGTTAGATCTAGGGCTGAGACGCGAAAACAACAGGTCTCGGCACAGTATCCATCGAACTGCCCAGCTCAAGAAATACCCTCGCCGCTGACCGACTTATTATAGGGTCGCTTATTTTACTGTCAATTCGGGGGGCCGTCAGGAACTACTGAGAATCAGCCCGCCACAAGTCACATTTTGCCATGCCATTTTCCCTAGCTGGTCAAACGGAAATTGGAATTCATCGCCCAGTTCGCGGATGAAATCGGCAAAGTTTTTGGTGCCGTTCCATCGGACCGTTCCGCCGAACTCACCCGCACCAGAACCACCATCAATGGACACATCGCCGGTCTCCACCAATAGTTCCACGTGGCTCATCACTTCCGTCATGGCCAGGAAGAAGTTGTTGTCATCCAGTTCCCTGTGGGAAAAGTGGTCCCTGGTCAACGAAGGAAGATCACGAGGGCCGAGATTGAGGATGTCGACGAGGTCGTGGCAGCGACTGACGTGATGTTCGACGATCTCAGTGGCGCGCTCCAGTCCCACAAGGTTGAACTGCCCTCGATGGTAGGCGCGGTGGGCTGGCAGAACAGCGATGCCGCCTGGTTGGGAATCCCCGATGGCGGCGACACGCAGCAGCGACTTCAACAGCACCTTCAGGCCATATATCTGGTTGTCGTCCTTGTAGGCCTCAGGTAGGACGGAGCGGTAACTGGAGTGGCTCCGGCTGACAGACGGGTGTGGAGTGATCTGAGGCAGCACATGGTCGCCGGTGAACATGATCCCGTCAAAGAGAATGCACAGCTCATCGGGCGAGTGGCCCGGGGTGTAAAGGTAAGACAAACCGTCGGACCGCAAGCCGTCGGTAACGGCGCAGTCAAGATTCAACTGGAGGGCCCTGCGGTGGTGCTCCTTGACCCGCTCGACTGTTTCGGTGTTCTCAAAAGCCTCGAATCCGGTCACCTGTCGCCGCCAGCTCATCTCCCTTTCCCAGCGGTCTTCCAGCAGAAGGCTGCCGTAGATCTCGTGCGCCCATAGCTCCGCGCCGCTCTCCCGCACGACACTAAGGCATGCGCCGTCGTGGTCCATATGGCCGTGCGTCACAACCACGCGCTGGACCGCTGCCAAGGAGTAGCCGATGTATGCCAGTCCCTCGGCCAGATAGTGTTCTGAACCGTGGCAACCCGGATCAATGACTGTGAGATGATCGCCCTCGATCACGTAGCACCAAGTGGGCCCCAGGGGTGTCTCCCACGCCTGGGGAATGCCCAGCGCCCAAACAGGCGCCCCCGATGCGGACTGGTAACTGACGATCATCCCGGTTGCCCGAATCATCACCCCTCTTCAGCACTTCTGGTTCTATCATTTGCACCGCCGACGAAAATTAAGACACGATGAGACCCGCTAGATGGAACGGTCAAACGAAGCGGGCTGGACGAAACGGTACCGGACCACGGATGCACGGATGCTATTGAGAATCCCCTGAGGTCTGATCCTCCGACCCACTCGAAGATTCTACCAGCTTTACGAGTGCGGCTATCAATACACCGTCGCGGATGATTCCCTCCGCCTCAACGGAATCGCCCACTGCGACCTCACCCTGAAACACGGTCAAGGAGACGACGGTGATGGTGTTCCCCGCCAGGAGAAGGGTTTCGGGATCCCCCTCGCCATCGGTCCTTATCTCCTGGATTTCGCCGCTCAGGTTGAACCTCACCTGGCTCTGACCTCCCTGAGCGGGATAAGAACTGACCACCTGTATTTCCCTCGCCAAGAATATAGTACCGGAAATTGAGCCGGTCACCTTGACTATGGCGCCGCCCGCCAGCTCCCCGGTTATCTGGGTCTCGGAGGAGATGCGCACCGTTATCCCGTTCACGGTTATGTCCAGAGGCCGGGCCGTGGTGGAGACTATCGGCCGCTCGACAGTACCCTGCATCTGTACGAAAGGCAGTACACCTATGCTGCCGGTTGGTCTAGGTTCGACAGTAACCGCAAGAATTTCACCATTGATGACGATTGCCTGCGCCACGACGGCCACGCCGACCGTCAAATCCACCTCCAGCCTGGTCAACTGGTCCGTGGCCACAGTTATTTCGTCGATGACAAACCCGGTGGTTCGACCGTCTGTGCCGGTGATCACCTCTTCCACGACACCGGCAACGCTGGCCTCGGTTCCTGCGGTTACACCCGGCCCATAGCCAACGATTTCGCGAGCAAGGACTGAGCCGTCGAGCTGCAACAGCCCCCTCACCTGTACGGGGGAACCGACCTGCAGAGCCGCGTCGATCGAGGTGAGCGCGCTTACGGTCACTGGAATTCCATTGACCGTAAGCCCACCGTCCGCACCGACCCTTTCGATTCTGCCTTCGATGTCAACGGGGTTAGCCCGGGTTTCACCCGTCTCGTCGTAGACGGTTGCTTCTGCAATTTCGCGCGCCAGCAATTCTCCATCGAGCTGCAGCTCGGCTTTGATGCGGACGCTGGACCCCACCCCGGTGTTGCCGATGGTCTTGGTGAGGTCGCTGAGCACCACGCGTATGCCGTCCACTACCAGCGCCTCATCCTGGTCTAGGTGGTCGACAGTACCTTTGATGCTGACGCTGCGGACCGGGCCACCCTGTTCTGTGGGGGCTGCGGACACCTCGGTTGCCAGCAACCCAGAGGTCTTTGCGATTGCGGTAACGGCCACCCTTCGGCCCACCGAGGGTCGTCCTGACAGCGATGTGTCCGCATCCACCTGAACGGGCAGTCCTCCCACGTTCCATGCGCCATCAGGGGTGATCTCTCGGAAAATACCTTCAATGGACACAGAATGTTCGCCGTCCGCATCCACCGTCTGCGCGAAGTTTTCAATCTCCCTGGCGTACAAGCTGCCATCGTCGCGAAGAATGGCGTTTACCTTGACCCGCTGACCTACTGCCGGCAGCGCGTCGGCGTATGTGCGGGCGTCAACGGTTACCGTCGCTCCGCTGACTTGCCACTGACCTGTGGCGACATCCCTTTCCTGGAACGCACCCCTCAGGACGGTACGGGCGGCGGTCTGCCCAACTCCTTCATCGTGTTCCACCCGCCGCGCCAGCAGGGACCCGTCCGACTGCAGCACGGCTTCGACAAGGACGGAGCTTCCGACAGATACAACCCGTAGTCATCACGGTGTAGGCGTCAACGGCAACCTCGGTGGAGGACAGAATGAGGTTTGCGTTCTCGGCGTTGATACCCTGGAAAACGCCGCGAACCACAGCGACGTTTGAAGTTTCCTGAGGCGGGGTTGCGGATTGCTCCGCTTCCAGCCCAGGGATTACGTTAATTTCGCTCAATGGACCAGCAGTCTGTCCCTCTGTGGCTATAAAAGACACGATTACGAAACGATCCTGGGCCAGCCCTGACACTCCACCATGCAAATTAATCTGGACCGTGTCGGAGAGCTGGAACGTTACAGACTCGCTGCCTTCTCCCGGAGGCTGTATCACGATTTCACTGTCGCTGAGGCTGGTTACGCGGCCCGCCAGGTGACGGTTCCGGGTCTTTGTGGGCACCAGGTGGACCTGCCTGGCAACAGTTCCCTGGGCATCCGCCTTGAGCGATACAGCCACCTGGTCGCCCAAGTCAAGGTCGACCAGGGTTGCCGCCCTGCGGTTGGGGACACGTATTTCCGTATCGGTCGCCACCTCCAAGTCCACCCTTCCTCGCGAGGTGGCCACAGCGAGTGCCCCGCCCCCGGTGAACTTGGGCCGTACTTCCAGTACCGAGCCAAAGAAATCCAGAGGAGATGGGGCGATATTGGACCAGTCGACTCATTGCCTGCCAGATCGATGGCTGTGATCGAGTAGGTGAAATCACCTTCTGCCGGGAGGGTACGGTCCTGGAATCCCGGGGTGAATAGCAGGGCGGTTACCGGTGCGCGAGGGCCCTCAGCACCCTGCCGGTACACTCGGTACCCAGCGAGGTCGGCCGAGGGACTGGGGTCCCAATCCAACTGTGCCGTGCCCGCAGTGCGGTCGAATTCAGGGACATCGAGCCCTGAAGGAGAGCCAGGAGGGGTGAAATCGCGAGAGGTCACTCGGAGGACGGGCGACTTGGGGGATTCCAAGCCCCAGGAATTTATAGCGGTCACAGCATAGTAGTAGCTGGCGCCATCGGTGGTTCCGCCATCGGCGTAAGAGGAATCAGCCAGTAACCAGGCGCGACGAACGAACAGACCAGTGCTGCTACGACTGACGTAAACAGCGTAGCCAAAGATGTCCGACTCCGTGTTGTCGTCCCAGTCCAGCGAGATGGTTCCAGGGTGTGAGTCCGACGCTTCCCCAGTCAGGCCGCCGGGCGCACCCGGGCCCTCAGCCAACAGGCGGCTGCTCCCCGCGCAAGGGGACTGGGAAACTACGCTGAGGCTTCCAGCAATCCCGGTGGCGTCATCGGAAAAGTCGAAGCTCACGGAATCGCCATCCACTTCCACACTGTTGGTTTCGTCATCCGTGGAAAGTGCGTCGAGGTACACGACTTCAAAGGAACCGAACTGGTCCAGAGTAAGCTTCGAATCGGAGGAGAGGTCCGGCGAAGGCTGGGTGCAGGCAACGCCGTCCTCCGGTAAGTGGTTGTCCCTATCGATCAGCCTTCCCTGATACCAGAATCTCAGAGGGTCACCAGTCGATACCGTGTCATACCCCACCGCCGCCGAAGTAATCTTTGTTGTGCCGGTGTTCGTAAGAGACACCACGGCGCCCGTGGGCGACGGCTCACCAGTAGAAACGGGATCCATTTTAACAATGAGGATATCGCGGGCACCTCTTATGGTGCCCGTCCAGCCGGCAACTATGAAGCCGCCATCGGAGATCTGCCCTATAGAGCGCGCTCCGGCGGAGACCTCCGTAGAATCCGTGGATGCACGCTGGGAGCGGCTCCATTGCAGTCTCCCGTCCGCATCCGTCTTAACGACCCAGAATCGGTCGCCACCGCGGAACGACTCGGACCAGCCCGCCAGCGCAAATCCGCCGTCACTGGTCCGAA